AAGTTATTACTTCCGCTTTCGCTGTGGTGGACTGGGCCTCTGATGAAGACGATCTAGTCGAAACGTCAGGCGTAATAAAGTTTCCACCTACCAACCTCGTATGCACAGAAGAACTTATCAAATGTAACAGCAATGCCGAGGTTTTACGAAGAGAGAAGTTGGACACTACTGATCAACGATGTGCCCTGCGTTTGACGCGATCGATGCAGCTGAAAGTATGCGCATCGATCGTCGAATCTCGCGAAGTCTGAGCGCTGCCTTAGGAAAAAGCACACGGTCAGAGAGGGCGCCATCCACACTCGTCGAGTAGTCGTTAGCATCGGCAACTGTATAAGTCCATTTACACGCGGAGTGACAAGAATGCATCTTGTCTTGTTCCCTGGATTCTGTCAAGGCTTAGCTTTTGGCGGGGTTCACCCTTACATGCTTTTAGGTTTGGCCTTAGCCAAGCGCTGAGCAGCACCATGATGTGCAACAGTTTTCGCTCGACAAAAGTTCACAATGATTGATCCAGTTCCGCTGCTTCACATGTAACGTTCAAATCGTTGGGAAACACTGACCACCACTGAGTGCATGACAACGAGTGGATTCTGACGAAAAAGAACAGCAAAAATGACGAAGCACATTCCATAGAATAGATGCTCCCTTCGAATTCCAGCTACTTTCTCTAACTCTTTCCACCTAGAACCATCACATATCACTTTTTTGAACAAAAAATGAACAGGTGCCGAACAACTTCATCATAGTGCAATTCCTGGAATCACCATCTGCATCAGTAAAAATTACCAAAATTCAGAAAATCTCACGTTTTATGACGCTCACTTCGTCTGTCATACAAAAAGTTACATACAACAATATTAATTTTCTCCCATGTGACATCATTCCAACTATTAATGAGACGCACTTTTACTTGCTCTTGATCTATAAAGCTGTATACACTTGTTTGACATCTACGTTTGCCCAGTCCTTAAAATCATGGCCGACAATTTCTCCAAATACCTCGCTATAGGCAAAGGTGAAGCGGGGGTATCGGCACAGTTAGTGCTGATTATGCACAGAATATTGTACTGAATTCCACACAGATCGGACATGCTAAACTATCCCGGGCACAAGCATGGCGGAGAGGTTTTGAAGGCAGTTGGCACGATAAATCCCTAAAGACGAGTAGGATTAATACGCCTGGCAGGACGGAATTCCGCGACCCTGAGCAGGCGCTGCGCAATCTTTTCCAAGGGAGGTGCCCTTATAAGGGCCCTATCAAGCTACAACATACCGACCCGAACGCCCACCACGCCCGCCCGCCCACAAATGGACCGTACCTGATGCTCGTATTGCTTCATTTGCTAAGTAAAATATGAAGCGAAGGGATTGGTATGAAGCGGCTGCGGTGCTGCATGGATATATGAGTACATACATGCACCCGTACCTACCGTAGCGGTTATTGACAATATGCCTACGGGAAACTCGTCCGAAATTGCTTTTCAAGAACGAAGGCTTTCCTTCGCAGTTTTCGACCGTTTCACTTCGTTTTTCGCCATTTTCCTACTATATAGCGCCTGCTAGCATTTTAGGCCGAGTACCAAATTATCGTGCCAACCGCCTTTAAATAGATTAGACGAGCTGCTCACCAACAAATCCCGGCTATGCCCCTACGCAAGCACTGCGCTTCTCTCCCGCTTGGTGCGAAGCCTTAAATTTGGGGCAAGTGATGGCGTTGCACCTGCGGAATTGTCATGAGCCTGCCTGAACCACTTCGAATGGAATTCGCAGGGACGTCACCCGACTAGTGGGCGGTTGGGTCAGGCCTATGCCCAAGGATGTTGAAGCACGCCTCGACGTGAGGGAAAATGTTGCTCCAGTCGTGCACCATGCACTTCACACGAGGGTTGACAGGCTTGTAAGAGAGGATTCCATTTCAGGGTGCCGTGCAGGCTGCTCAAGGTACCCTAAAACAGCGACGGCTCGTCACGCAGCATACGGCCTTCAACTTAATTTGTATTCACCCCAATCTGGCATTCTGATGGGGAGGTGGCGCCACCAAATCATCAGCGGACCTTGCCACTTAGTCGTGAATGGGACAAACGTTCAGGAAGAAGAAGAAGACATCTTTCGATGACCATGTTAACACCTATCATCCGCGAATGAACTTTTACTGGTTTTGATAGCAGGGTTTTACACGGAGAGCGCCATGCAGGGTCTAATGACGAACAACTCATCTGCGAATGCATAAATGGGATCAACGAGCACTCAAAAGGAGCTAAAAGTAGCATCCTACAAGCGAGCTGCTTATATCGAACACTTCGTAAAAGGGTTGTAAACAGCTGGACATCTCACGGATTTAACGAGCATCGTGCACCGTAACCCATGAGTCAGAATAACGGAAATTTACAGGGGGCCAAAAAAAAGTCATTCCGGCCGAGTCACATATGTGGCGAAGTTTTCGGCAGCCCAACAAGAAGTAGATACGTAATACCAGGCGGAAGATACCCAAGATCTTCCTCTATAAGCAGGAGCCGGCTGCCGCCATTCACCTTCATGTACCAAAATATGAAGTCATCTCCAGTCGCGGCCTGAGTGGAGAACGCCTTTGGAATTCACGTGGCCTCCAAACAGCTGCGGAACTTCTTGAATGGAATCACCCATGGATACCTGGAGACCAGTACTCTTGATCTGCAAGACCCAAACATCGAGCAGCTCCGCAACGTCGCTAACGGGTCCAGGACATCATCTTCACCCCATTCACCAAGGCGCGGTTGATGGTGTGGACCGGCCGTACCTGGAATGGGAAGACCGATATTTTCTTTGTAGACCCCGACTGAAGGTGAGCGCTGGCGGTTACATCAAGTAACTCGAGAAGGATATCCTCCCTACATGTGGTCGCCCGTACCTTCTTGGAGACCTTGTGCTGCTACAGGTTTGGGTGCCACCACATGGAATCGAAGGGTTTTGGAAAAACTCCCGCCTACTTCGAATGGAAGGGCGTTTCGTACCTGATGAAGATGTAATATTGAAGTATGTCCCCTGACCTGAACCCACTCAATTACCTAGTTCGGGCGGAGCTCAACAGGGTGGTCTACAGTGGCGGAGAAATCAACGATTCAGCCTCACATCGCGGCACCCAGGCTTCCGTTCCCTCGGGTCGTCACTTTTCGCGCGGCCGAATCTCTCGATGGCGCTCCTCCAGAAGGCTGTGGCGGAGTATCATTATAGTATTTAATGTGCTCTTTAATATGGTAGTAAAAATGTCCGATAAAAATTTAATAAAGTGTAACTTATAGCGCCTTGAAAGTCATGGAGGCAAAATGACTTTTTTTTGCCCCCCCCCCCTGTATACTCGATGAGGATTGTTTCCGACAGCATCCTACGTCTGAGCGCAAATGGTATCTAGAAGATTGGAGAGGGGTACGTCAGTGTTTGGGCGTGAAGAGATTTGTAGAGCGGTGATCTGCGCCAGCATTTGCAACTAGGGCCCACAGTCCACCGACAGAAGGCTGCACTGGTACGTGTCGTATGCCGCGACTCCTCATGTCCGACCTACTCACTGGGAAAAAGGTGCTGTACAAAGCAAATGGCAGCTTTAAATGCGAGTCATTACGGGGATTTTGCTTGTGACTACGAGCCAATAGAGCCGCTTGCTTCAACGAGCCTGACGAATTCCGAAAGAACAGCAGTGGTTGAAATCCTGAACCTTTAGAAAAACCTCACTGGTACTGGCCGTCGATGATACCGCTGAGCGAAGTCTTTCCATGAATGATGGTGTTTTTTCAAGAGGTGAATCCGCAGAATACTGAAAGTATTTCGACAAGGTAAGTCATCTTCATCGCTTAGTTATCACGGAATAGTTTTTTTTCCAACAGGCGGAATCCTCAAAGTACTGAAAAGTTCCGATAAGCCATCGCCATTGCTTGGATATCATGAAGGTAAAGTTCATATATCAATCAGTCGGCTGAAAACACAACATGCCAATTATTAGGTCCATGTGTGCACATGTCTGGCTGGCCACCTTTCAATTATCTCTTGCAGCTTCACTATAGTTCTTTTCAGACTCCAGAATGGGAAATTTATGCTGCAAGGTGATCGCAGTGTGAATCAGCTCTGATCAGCTCGAGATATGGATGGTTCATTGAGGAGCTACTGCATACATATTGGGGATGTGTACCCGAGAGGAGTCATTCCACAGCGAGGCTAGCCGTCATGACATAACACCTCTTCTTGTTTCATCTTGTCTAATGGTCTAGACTCTCTCACTGAGAAAGCAGACTATGTTCTGACATGCCTCAGTTAACGTCAACCTATCATCTTCTCACCGTACCTTTTCACCTAGACAGCCTACCTTAGATTTTTTTTCAGAGCATGAAGTGGATGATCTCGCTGAGGAGCGGCTTTTTCCGGGTTCATAACACCTCTTCTTGTTTCTGCAGGAGCTCTACCAGCCTAGAGCATGTCAAGGTCGTTTAGAACTGGTAATTTTACTTTTGTTTCAATACAACAGGAGTGGATAGGGCACTTTGTTGAACAAGAAACAACGATTCACAGTCAAACGACAGCGTGCCAGGAGGCGTGAATGTGAGCGCGGTGGTAACAGGTTTAGGCCGGCAAACACTCCTAGAAAACGCGGTAGCCGCTGGGCTGAAGTCCACTCCACTAAATTGCCGCCACTTGACACACAGCCCAGTCCAATATCGCCGATATGTTCTGCATATACAGCACACCTTCACGACTGGTACTTATTTAACCAAACTGACAGGTGGGCTGTGGATAGATTTCCTATGAAAGAATGAAACCGCGTTCCAACTTGCGACACTAGAGTATCGTGGAATTGTAGGAAGTCGAGAATCTCCGAAAAGGCAAGCATACGTATTGACTTGAGAATTAGGTTTGGACAACTCGTATAAAACTCCCCCAAAAGGTTTTCTACATGCCAAAAAAAGGCGTCCGTAAGAAGAAGATTCAAAAAATCGAGATTTGGCCGATATGTGACACCTCTAGTTCATTGCTGGGAAATTCGTCAGTGTCGGGCACTATGATGCTCCTCACGAAGCGCAAACCCTTTTTTGCTATTGGAAGCAGGTACGCGACAACAGTTGGTAGAAAACGAAGAACGATACAGTACAGTATCGCTCGTATCGTACACTTGCTCGCTTCAATAATGGTGCTGACGGAATTGGCACCCCCGCCAGACGTCATCCCCGGCGCCACGCCCCCTCTGTCGTCCGCAGCGAAACTATTCTGAACTCTGATATGTTTTCGCGCATTCTCCTATTCTCCCACACTCCCTGAGTCTCTGAATCGATCACCAGCCTGATACTATACGTTTTGCAAATCGCAATTCTAACAGTTTCGTGATTTTCCGATTCTCCACAGTCCTACTTTATTAACGCAGCTGATTATTCGGCTTCTGTGGAACAGAATATGATCCACTTCTCTCATGTGATTCAGATGGATGTATATTGTGATACGGTACACTTAACCGACACACGTACAGTGATGCTCATATTCCACGACGTTGGGTTTTGGCCGGCGCCATATGGCGCCATTTGGCGCCACCTTTGCGACACCTTAGCACCACAACTTTTCTCAACAACATCTGTATAAACTTGCTTACTGGGCTATTCAGTGCCTGGTCACGAAGTGACATTCATATCCTAGCCGTGGGCGGCGATTGCGCGGCATTAAGGTGCGATTTGGCGACACGGACACTTTTCCCAAAAATCCGTATAAACTTGCATAATGGGGTTTCTCGGTGCCCTGATCACGAAAGTAGTATTCACTTCCAGTCCGCCATTCGGCGCTATTGCGTGCCAATTTGCGCATGCCTTGTGTCGCACAGACTGTATGTTATATAATGTCACATGAATGTGAACTAGTAAGACATACAGAATGCACGTGAACAAGCCGCTTGTGAGCGCAGCGGCCGCAGTCGCCTGCAAAGCTCATTGAAGTCTATGTATGCTCTGCAAATGA